GCGTTGTTACTTCAATCAGGTGATCGAGAAGTCCTCGGGTAACACTCTGCGTGCTCGATTTGGCTCTAAGCTTCTCATCGCAGCCCTAGCGGCTAAACATCCTAATATTACTAAGTAGGGTTCGTAGAGGAGAGAAATCTTCGCTGTGCGTGTTGAGATATTATTATCTTTGGAATTTTGTTATAGGGTGACTTGATAGGAATGAATTTTCGCGCATCTCGAAAATTAGATGAGATTTGAAAGGTTGAGATAGACTGCTACGAATTCTTTATCTACGCATCTTGAAAAAAGTAGTTGTTCGAAATCGATTAAAAATTATCAGTGAATTTTCTACGACTCGCAGTAATTTCGTGGGGCAGTGAAGTTTGTCTGCTCTGCTCAGTGGTGTGGTTTGCGACTCAGATATATACAATTTCTCGAGGATTCGCATCGTATGTATATCGTCATGGAGCTTTACACTGGTCCCGATCTGTTTGATTACATTATAAGTAATCGTCCCGTCAGTAAGTGAATAATTTTGTGGCGCGCGGTGATGACAATCTGTTCTTGGCTTCAGCGGAAGAAAAGGCTGCTTTCATTCTTGAGCAAATTTCGCGCGCCACAAACTTCCTGCATACGCAGGGTGGCATGCACAGAGATCTAAAACCGGAGAATTTCATGTTCGAGAACGACACTCCTGGCGCGGCGTTGAAGTTGGTTGATTTTGGTAGTACTACGGGGAGTCGGTGCGCGCACTTGGAAGAATATCTTTTTCATAGTTGGTGGATTGGGAGATTGATGATAGAACTTCGATTTGGATTTTACGATGGAATAGAGCTTTGAATTCAAGATGTGTATATGTACGCGACCAATAACGCAGTCGTTTGTCGCGAAGTGAACTATGGTATAACTTGTTCGCTAGTGTTTTCTTCCATATCGCGGCTGAAACTCGAGTTTTGATGGAATATTGATCTTGGCGTGCGCACGCGAAAGTATATCTCTTAAAAGGAACGGGAAATTGATGATGGAGCGATCTAAAATTGGCGGTACAATGGGAAATGAGTTTTAGTAGTGACTCTGACTATTTGGTGAAGTGGTTGGATGTCTGGCCTTGTGCGCACGCGGAAGAATATCTTTGCATATCTTATCTTATGTGCGATGACGAGGGGTGGACTAATATGTTTTATTTGATTCATAGAGAATATCAAAAGGAGTGGTGATGATTTGTCGGGTGGAAGGGCCGGGGAAACTAGAAGGACTTTGGGTGCACCTTGCGACCCTACGCTGCCTTTCGTATCACCA